TGGAATTGGAATTTGATGAGATGGGTATTTGAAAAATCAGGGAAAACGACGATTTTGAAGATATTGGGAGGGAAACATATGGTGGAGCCGAACATGGTTAGGGTTCTGGGTCGATCTGCGTTTCATGATACTGGATTGACATCTTCTGGTGATCTCTGTTATCTCGGTGGCGAGGTTTGTGATGTATCTGTTTGAATGTTTCGTTTGGATTAGAAAATGCTGAATAGATACTGAGTTCTGATTAGGAATTGAATCGATTCGGATTGTTCGAATAAAGAATCCGTTTTTGCCTCTATTCGATTTGTGTTTTTAATGGAATCAAGCACTTTAGTGTTCACAGAGAAGGAAAATGGATGGCTATGATAATGTGTTTTTCCTTTCTTCTTTGCAGTGGAGGCGTGATGTTGCATTTGCGGGATTTGAAGTTCCGATACAAATGGATATATCGGCGGAGAAAATGATATTCGGAGTGGCGGGTATTGATCCTCAGAGAAGAGATGAATTGATTAAGGTGAGTAGAAATTTCAGAATCTAGCTTTGGTGAAATGGTTAAGGTTAATACTTCTTTATATTTGATTCTGTGATGTTTGGGGAAGTATTCAAATGTTGAGGTCATAAGTATTTTCCATAAGCTTAACTCATGTGTTTCTTGTGAATCCCAATGTTGAAAATGAATCAGCTAGATCATTGTCTGTTCTTTATCAATTTTTGTCACATACCAAGCTTACTAGCTTTTTTGAGCGTCTGAAATATCGTAATTCGGGAATGAAGCTGCTTGCTTTTACATCAAATGCATATGTTTCTACCTTTCTGTTTTGTCCTAATTGAGGTTGGTTTCAGGTGTTGGATATTGATATCTCATGGAGATTGCACAAGGTATCTGATGGTCAAAGAAGACGTGTCCAGATTTGTATGGGACTCCTCAAGCCTTTCAAGGTAACCCTTTTAACACAATCTTCGAAAAAGTCCATATCTTTAGCGGAACCTCATTGATGTTTAGGAAAGGATTCTTCAGAATCCGAAATGGTGTGATGCTTGAAACAAACGATGAAGATTATAATAAGATCTTATTATGAAAGCATGCTATAACAATCTATCTGAATCCAACTTTCTTGGAATCATCTACAGGTTCTCCTTTTGGATGAAATAACTGTTGATCTTGACGTTCTTGCAAGAGCCGACCTTCTGAAATTTCTGAGAAAGGAATGCGAAGAACGAGGAGCAACCATAATCTACGCGACTCATATATTCGATGGCCTCGAGGATTGGCCAACACACATTGTAATATAAACCACATGATCTCTTTTCTCTGTTTTTTGCTCCTATACTAAGAAACAACATTAACAACATTATGCCATTGTAGGTGTATGTAGCGAACGGGAAGTTGCAATTAGCAATGCCAATGGAGAAAGTGAAGGAGACAAGTAAGAATTCACTGATGAGAACAGTTGAGAGTTGGCTGAGGA